GAGTATTGGCAATACTTGATCGAGTATTGAACAAATATCAAAATCTTCATTTGATCTTCTCCCTTTTGCACATTCTTTGGTCTTTAGGATCTATCCTTTGATTCTTGGGATGATTTTGACCTGTTCTAAGCTCAGAATAATCCTAATCTAAATAAATTACAAATAATTAACGAAAATAAAGTATTACACCAAAAGTGTGTAATTTCCACAACTAGAACTAATAAAACTAGTTAAAAATACAAACATACATAATAGGAAATTCACACCATCAATAGTGAAAAAAATAATTTAAAGAAACCTTTAAAAGTAAATAAAACTAAATTAAACACATTAAAAATACAAAAGAGTTGGAGGCCTTTCCCACAACCTCGCCACCTCCCAGAAATGCCAACTCCGATCGGCGAAAAAAAGTCATTTTGTACACAGACCGCCATTTTTTCTAAAAAATTGCCACGAATATGACATTTTTACTCTTTAAAAATGCCAAATTTTTTCTAAAACATTATCATCAAGATGACATTACTAACACATGTTGGCATTTTTGCCTGTGGTCGGAGCTGGTGGTGTTGGGAGGTTGTTGAAGCGGCAACATATGCCTGCAAATTGTTTTTTACTTTTTTTATTTTTTATTTTAAGTTTTTAAATTTTTAATTTTATCGTTTTCATTTTTCTAATGTTTTAGTTTTATTTATTTTATTTAATTTTTTTTTTGTTTTTCTACATTTTTATTATAACAAGAATGTAGAAAAATAAGTTTTAGGGAGAAAAAAGAAAAATGATACGTGGGACCGCTCTTGAAGAAGATTTGTGAAATGTGAGATTTATGGTTGAATGATTTGTAAAGAAAATGAAAAAACCTAGAATAGTCGGTCATCAACCGGTCAGTGACCATCGAATGAAGATGGGGTGCAAAGGTTGGATTATTCCTGAATTACTAAAATGTCGGACTATTGTATGAAGATGGCTAAAAGGTTGGATTATAGGTAAAAATTGCCTACTAAAAGTCTAAAGTATAAGCAATCTTTGTTTATTCAATAACCCCGTATTTTACTTATGATTTTATAAGAACATAATAGTTTCAATAACTCAATCTAATGAAAAATGAATCAACCGCTACCAATCGCGTTATGCAACTTGCTGTCATGCACGGCCAGTCTTTCATTAAAATCCGAATGTCACAGAACTATATTTTCTAAAATCTTTTCTTAAATTAAAGAAAAAGATAAAAGGACTAAATTTCTAACTTCTAAATCCTGGAAGGGCTAATATTTAAATAAATACTCCGTAAAATACAAAAATGTGTAGTTAGTTTTGAAAACACAGTAAACCAAGATTTAATCTGATAGATTAAAGGTAATTTTGTGGAAAGTTACATTTGATTGTCATTTCAACTTGACATTGTTTCAATCAAACCTGTTTTGTTTGTCATTTGATCAATGTAATGAGCTTATTCGTTTTAGTTATTAGTAAAATTATTTATTTAATCAAATAATTAAATTTTGATTTTGCGCGCTAGATTATGTGATGATCAAAATAAGAAAAGCTAAATATAATTACTTTTTTTTTGCCTAAATTGAATGAAGTTAAGAAGTCACATTTATTCACTATACTTATTTGGGTCATAGTTATCGATAATTTCTTTACTTAATACAGGATGATCAATATCGTAGTTGAAAAATAGGAAGTTGTTTCATAATTCTTAAAAGAAAAACTTTTATACGCAATATTACTGTCATAAAAAACGTAATGAGAATCATGAATTTTAATATATTTTGTAAAAGGTAGAGTTAGAATGAAAAAGTTATAACATTTTGAATAAAAATAGATTTTCAAAATAAGGATAATGGATAACAATATGTTTTATTGACATTTAGTGACTATAATAAAAAACTAACTCTTATAATTAAAAAATGCATATATGCTCACTTTTCATTTAAAATAACGTCCCGTTTGGTGACCCTATTTTTGGATTTATAAACCTTATGAGTCATTTTTTCATCAAATACTAAAATTTTGATTCCGCACGTTGGATTTTGTTATGATCAAAATAAGAAAGGTTGGACTTACTTTTCTATTTGGGTCGAATGAAGTTACTGTAACTGAAAATTTTAGTTACATTTTTCTAATAAATGTTTCTTCATTTTTATAGATAGAATATATTTTAATTTTTATCCCATAATTTAGTAGATTCAGCAAGTTTGGCGGTTTCAAAAAGAACTTCATCAATTTTGGTAGATTCACCCAATTTATTTGTTACCAAACAGACTTTGAATAACATTTTAATTGAAAAAGATGTTCAATATATGATAGTATTGTCAATGTAAAATAGATCAATGGTTTTAAAATGTCACATGGTGCGATGAAGTAGCTCAATGAGAGTTATGTGGGGCATGAGCAGTAAAATATATAGAGGCATAGAATTGATGGGGCCCAAGGTATAAAAACCTTCATTTTCTTCAAAGTGTTATAAATTGTCATTCTTGCTCTAATTTCTATAAAATATATATCAAAAATCATAATCTATTTATATATAAGAAAGTAGATAGGTCAATTGTTAGCCGGCTAACAATTTAGCGGTAGAAATATCTTTCTCATACGTACCACTTTTATGTATAATAAGAATATAAGCCGGCTAACAATTGAGCGAGAGAAATTTCTCTCTCTCATATGTTGTGATTTTAGGTATTAGGATATAAGCTTGTGAATGGAAAACTTTCTCTCCCATATGTAGATTTTTTAAGAATAAGATAGGCCGGCTAACAATTGTGCGGAAAACTTTATCTCTCATATGTAGTACTTTTAAATATAGGGTGAGATTAAGCTGGCTAACACTTGAGCGGAATAATTTCCTCTCTCATATGTGATTTTAGGAATAAGATGATAAGCTTTCTAAAAATTGAGCGGGATAAATTTCTCTATCGTATGTAATGCTTTTAGATATTAGAAGATAAGCTTGCCAACAATTGAGTAGGGGAGTTGAGCGGGATAATTTTCTCTTTCATATGTAATTATTTTAGGTACTAGACTAGACTAAAGATAAGCTTGCTAACAATTGAGTGGGAGAACTTTCTCTCATACATATAGTTCTGTTAAGTATAAGATAAGTCAGCTAACAATTTAGTGGTAGAATTATATTAACTCTCTCATACGTAATGCTTCTAAGTATAAAATAATTCGACTAACAATATATTCACCGAGATAATTTTCTCTCATATATATGTAGTTCTTTTGAGTATAAGATAAGTCGGCTAAAAATTAAGCGGTAGAATTATCTCTCTCATACATAGTGCTCTTAGGTATAAGAAGATAAGTTGGCTACCGACTCAACGCGAGAAATTTTATCTTTCATATGTAGAGCTTTTAGCTATTTGGAGATAAGCCTACTAATAATTGAGCGAGAAAACTTTCTTTCTCATATGTAGTTCTTTTAAGTATAAGATAATTCGGCTAACAATTGAGTGAAAGAGTTTTCTCTCTCATATGTTTGCTTTTAGTTATAGTTGTATATATAAGATAAGCCGGCTAACAATTGAGCGGGCAAATGCTCTCTCTCATAAGTAGGGGTTTTAGGAATAAGAAGATAATATTGCTAATAATTCATCGGGAGAAAATTTTCTATCACATGTATGTAGTGTTTTGAGGTATTAGAAGATAAACTTGCTAACAAATGACCAGTAGAATTGAGCAGGATATATTTATTTATCACTCATATACAGTGTTTTTAGGTATTAGAAGTTAAAGTTGCTAATAATTGAGCATGATAATTTTCTCTTTCATATGTAGTGCTTTTAGGTATAAAGAAGATAAATCGGTTAACAATTGAGCGGGGTAATTTCCCCTCTCATATGTAATAATTTTAGGTATAAGAAGATAAGCTTGCTAACAATTGAGGGGGGAGGGGGGGGGGATTTTTCTATTATATGTACTGCTTTTAGGTATTAGAAGATTAGAAGATTAACTTGCTAACAATTGAGCAAGGGAATTGAGGGGGATTATTTTCTCTCTCATATGTAGTGTTTTTAGATATTAAAAGATTAGAAGATAAGTTTGCTAACAATTGAGCGAGATAGTTTTCTCTCTTATATGTAGTGCTTTAGGTATATAGGAAGATAATCCGGCTAACAATTGAGCGAGAGAATTTTCATTCTCATATGTAGTGGTTTTTGGTATAAGAAGATAAACTTGCTAACAATTGAGCGGGAGAAATTTTTCTATCATATAGTGCTTTTTGGTATTACTACATAGAAGATAAGATTGCTAACAATTGAGCAATGGAATTGAATGGAATAATTTTCTCTCTCATATGTAGTGATTTTAGGTATAAGAAGATAAACTTGATAATAATTGAGCGGGAGAAATTTTTCTATCGTATAGTGCTTTTTGATATTACTACGTAGAAGATAAGATTGCTAACAATTGAGCAATGGAATTGAATGGAATAATTTTCTCTCTCATATGTAGTGCTTTTAGGTATTAGAAGATAATGTTGCTAACAATTGAGTGTAATAATTGAAAAATAATATAATACTTATGAGTATATATATTAATGTATATATTTTTATTTATTTTTATATTAAATTCACTATTTGGAATTGGTCCAGTCCATTAGAATATTAGATTCTTTGCTCTTCACGAAACTTATGCCTCTACAAATTTACGTTGTTGATTCAAGATCATAATTATTGAGTATAGTGAATATCTTGTTTTGTTTTACTTACTAAAAATTTCAATTTGTTATGTATTTATGTTTTAAACTCAATTTTTGAGGTTTAAAATTATGAGCAAAAATTTATTCATGATTTGTAAAAACTGTTCTTTTTTTTTTGGAGAAATTTGAATAACTTTTTTAAAAACTAGAAACCTTAAAATAGGAGAACCAAACTATTAACGACTGATTCAATTTCATATTGATTCTATAAATAGTATCTTGCGGAACCGAACCGGTCCAGTCCTGGGTCCCTTAGATCCGGTTTTTCGCTCTCGAATTTATCAACCCAATTTCGTCAACTCATCGTCAACTGATCTAAAACAAAACAAGATACTATCCCTGCTCGGAAGTGATCGCCGCCCCTAGCTATCGGGTCTCTCTTCTCGCAGCCTCTCGTCGCGTCCCTGGTCATGCCTGTTTCTCTGATTGTCGCTCCTTAGCTGGTCGCCGCTCACTTTCTCTTCGTTGTTGCAAGTGTTTTTTAATCTTTGGTTTCAAATGTAATTCGATTCATTATCATTTGCTTAAGTTGAATGACGGATACTGTTTATTCATCATCCTTGCATCAACTTTGACTCCGTATGGTGAGTACTCCTTGAAAGGGGAAACTGATCACTCTATGTGGTAAATTAGGGTAGTTCTCTGTAGTAGATTACTACTTCTTTCCTGCCACGAAGGAGGTCGCAATTCAGATTATGTGGCTTCATCCAATTATTTACAGTTCAATGTTTAGTGATATACTGATATGGAGTAGTTAATTCGAGGTTGAATGAGGCAATGAGCCACACATTTTAAAAATCTCTTTAAAATGGAAGAGTTATCTTAACGCATGAGCTGAACATCAGCCATTCCATAAAAAGAGTCATGTACACAACTTTTTAGTTACCACTGATCTCACTAATGCATTCAAATAAGCTAAAACATCGTGGTAACTGGTACCTGTATTTGGTAAGAAATATGGATGACTGGGCTGATAAGCCAAAATATTGTGGTAGATAACATGCAATAAATAAAACAAAAATGATATTGTAAATTACTTTATTCAAGTATCGGTTACCTGTTCTGTTATGGTATGACAGATGGAATGAGATGGAGGAAGTTGAAGTGTATGAGCATATGGCTATAATTTCTTTTCCCTGATGTATTTAACAAACATTAAAGGTACATTTTGGCTCTTGAACTGCACAAATAATTTTTTTTGACTAATTTTGTACTTTTAAAATATTAATCTCACTTTTGTTGCATTCTAGTCCTCAATATTTTGGGTTTGATGTTTTACTCTATCGTTTTATGATTGTCTTTGTCAACTATTCCATAAACTTGTCTGGGGAAGCCGCATGCTCAGCTAGAACGTTAGAGCAAAGAATCTGAAACTCAGAAAATTGAGGAACAGAAATACTATCTTGACACAAAGGGGGCTATATTTTGAAAGTAGATAATCAATTATGTAAACGAATAGTTTTGCAAACATAGCAGATTTTAAATGCAGTTTTCACTCTGAAGAAAGAAATATGAATATGTGACATTGTGATGCGTAATTTCTTTTCTCAATTTGAGGTATAACTTATGGTTATGTTCCATGATTCACATGTCAATTTTTCCATATCGTTATGAAATGTGTATGGGGATAGAAAAATGCCCCAAGTAATTCTCCATTTATGTGGAAATAGTCTATGATGGTGACAGTTCAAATTTTCATCTCATTGGTGTTTATTCATTTTAGTCTCTTGAAACTTTCAATATTCATTTCCTGTTCTGAAGATTTCTTCCCTGTTAAGAAACAGGTATAATGGAGATTTCACTATTAAAAGTGCTTCTCAACAAAATCACAAGCTTCTTTGTTATATCATCTCGGGAGAACATAAACTTTTCACTGGCACATAAGTATTATGGGACAGCAGAAGGCATACTGAAGCTGTTAATGCCGATTCTCAACAGCACTATCGATTCTGAAGTAGCCTCTGAGGAACTGTTACAGAAGGCTTTTGCTGGACTGTCCGATTCAATTGATCAACTAAGGAAACTATATGAAACCTGGGAGCCATTCAGTAGTAAAATATATTTTGTATGTCATCAGATATGCTTTATAATTCATATGCATTGAGCAGTTGTTTTGATGCTATATATACATATATAACATTAAATATGTTTACCTAGTTGCTATTATCTTCAACAAACCAAACTCCACCTTACATATATTGACAGACTGGGTTTAATACCACCATGCCAGTGGCCCAGTGCTCATGATAAATAGAAAAAATTGAACTGAAAGTGTGTTTTCATTTCTTTCCATGGTTTGGGGGTAGTAATTAACCCCGTTTTCAGTATCTCCATCCTCTCATAATGAGTGTACTTTGGTTATTGCATAATGGCAATGGTTTAAGATAGACACACATTGGACACATACATACATAGCTGAATTTTGCATTACATACAGGTTTTGCAAGCTCAATTATTAATTGCAGAAGCTCAGAGTTGCAGCCTGGAAATTCTCGAGCTTCTTGCATCTTCTAATTGTTCGCTTCGTACCGAAGCAAGCTTGACGACTCTTCAGGTTGGTGCCCACAAGACTAAAAGTTGTATATATTCTTATTTCCTGCTATATTTGTACACCTGGATGTAGTTCAAAGATTTGCCGATTCTCCTGTCATTATACTTATTAAAGAAAAGGATTCTGAACTCCTGTCTTGCATTGGTTGTTTTGCAGCACTCTATGCTGAAAATAAAGTCTATGAATTGTGAACCGTTACCAGCACTATTAAATAAAGCTATAAAAGATCAAGTTGAAGGTTCTGCAACGAGCAGCGATAGCATGGCAAAAATTGCTGACTCCTTTAGCTTAAAGTCAAACCAGGAGCTTCTCATTGAGCTAGTGGCACTTGATAAGCTGAAGGAGAATGTAGAACAAGCAAAAAGGAGTGATGAAATTGAGTATATTGAACAGATAATTGCTCTTGTTAGTCATATGCATGAATCCCTCGTAATGATGAAACATTCTGAGAGCTGTACTACCTCTGTGACAATACCCCCGGATTTTTGCTGTCCTCTCTCACTTGAGCTCATGAGGGACCCAGTAATCGTTTCATCTGGACAGACATATGAGCGAGCCTTCATTCGAAATTGGATTGACCTTGGCCTCACCGTCTGCCCTAAGACACGACAAACCCTTGCTCATACAAACCTTGTCCCGAACTACACTGTCAAGGCATTTATTGCAAATTGGTGCGAATCAAATCAAATAAAGCTTGTTGATCCAGTAAAACCCGTGAGCTTGGAATGTAGTGCACCCAGGAACAATCATATATTTCCCCATTCAAGGGCTAATAATTCCACTTCACCTGATTCATCTCGCTCTTTTGGCTCCCCATCTCCAAGGAAAGATTCATTCTCCTCCACTGCAATCCAAATAGAGACAACATCTCGCCCTCGTCCCCATTCATCTTCAGAGGAGGAATCTTTGGCAGGAAGTGGAGGTAATCGGTTGGATGTTGAACAAATGTCTCTTGAGAGTTCAGAAGATGGAAATCCCGAAAACTCGGGAAAAAGGAGTATTGACTCGATTAGCCACTTTTCTATGCCATTATCTACGAGTCATGTGTCATCAGCTGATGATGAAGATTTACACCATGGTCATAACCGGACCTCCTCTGCACCAACCATGCTGTCCTCTGATTCAAAACTCACGCATGTAAACGCTGAGGATGATGGAAATGCAATGTCATCATCTGCTGCTGGTGTTTCTGTCTCTTCTGCAGAGGCTGTTGCTTCAGATTCCACACCCCCTTCTTATGCAGTAGCTGCTGGGACAAGGCCCTCATCATCAATGTGGCGTAGGTCATCTGAAGCATTTGTTCCGAGAATAGTTTCTTCACCTTCTGTTGGAACAAGGGCTGATATTGCGCTAGTGGAAGAGCAAGTTAGAAAGTTGGTTGAGAACTTGAAGAACACTTCCATTGATTTGCAGAGAGAAGCCTCGGCTGAAATCCGACTACTGGCCAAACATAATATGGATAATCGTATCGTGATTGCGAATTGTGGTGCTATTAATGTATTGGTTGACTTACTGCGTTCAGTGGACCGACAAGTGCAGGAAAATGCTGTCACTGCACTCCTTAACCTATCGATTAATGATAACAACAAGTCTGCAATTGCTAATGCCAGTGCAATAGAACCTCTGATTCATGTGCTTGAGACGGGGAGTGCAGAGGCTAAAGAAAACTCTGCCGCCACTCTTTTCAGCCTTTCTGTTATGGAGGACAACAAGATAAAGATTGGGAACTCTGGAGCGATACAACCTCTTGTTGATTTATTGGGGAACGGAACTCCAAGGGGAAAGAAAGATGCGGCCACAGCTTTGTTTAACTTGTCAATACATCCCGAGAACAAGACCCGGATTGTACAGGCGGGTGCGGTGAGATACCTCGTGGACTTGATGGACCCAGCTGCTGGCATGGTTGATAAAGCCGTTGCTGTTCTGTCAAACCTGTCTACCATTCAGGAGGGAAGGGTAGCTATTGGTCAGGAAGAAGGGATCCCCGTTCTGGTTGAGGTTGTTGAATTGGGATCTGCAAGGGGTAAGGAAAATGCAGCTGCTGCTCTGCTGCAGTTATGCACAAACAGCGGTAAGCACTGTAATATGGTTCTCCAAGAAGGCGCTGTACCTCCATTAGTGGCTTTATCACAATCTGGCACCCCCAGAGCAAGAGAAAAGGTACATTTGCTACCACTAATGACCTCCCTCTTCATCTTAAAAGATGTGATCTGCTGTGGAATTTAAATCTTTCTGATTTCTTTTGATCTGATCTTTGGTGTAATCTGACTGGTCTAGTTACTTAAAATAAGAATAAGTCCCTGCCGATGTGTAGAAAGAAAAACATAAGTTTGAAAAAATAAGGTGAAGGGAATAGCATGTAAGAAGATGCCTTATTTTGTAACGTTCAAATCTTTTTTTAGGATTATTGAGTTCATCATCATCATTTTCATTTACCCCAGTGCTGCAAAGGCTCCCACCTACGGTGAGGTAAGGGGGGGTCGGATGTACGCAGTCTTACCCCCGTACTAAAGCACAGAGAGACTGTTTCCGGATGACCCATAGTGAAAATCGCGTCCAAAATTTTGGACTGACTGCTGCTTCATAACAAAGAAGCGCAGACAGTTTAGTGAGCCATTTTGCTTTATTCCAACATATTTTCAAGCCAAAAAATAATGAATCTTTGGCTCCATTGCAAATGATGGAAATGTTTTTTGGTTGCTTGCAGGCTCAAGCACTTCTTAGCTACTTCAGGAATCAACGTAATGCTGGCAGGAACTGATTTTGTAAAATTGTGCTTTGGACAGCATACGATGTTTTAGGTAAGAGGTTATTGTGTCTGTGTTGTGTGTAAATCTGGTGATAGAAATAGTTGGTTTAGATTCTATTTCATGTAATTTTTTATACGTGGAAGTGAGATGGCTTTTGACATGAACACGTACACTTATGCCTGAACATGTAAGATTTCTCCTTCACTGCAATATTTATACCAGTATTATTTTCACAGCAAGTGCTACTTTCCAGATGAAACAATGTACGTGCTGCAGTTTTTGTTTCCTGTGGGAAAGGAAAATACTAGTTGTAAGTTTGTAACTAATAATATTGTCATTAAAATGTTATCGTCAACCACTTCATTAGTATCTGTTAGCAAGTTCGCCATCATACTAATTTTTGTTAGCAAGTCTGTCATCAACTGCTCCATGCAAACGGCTGGGCAGGCTCCTCTCCTAGCTTCCACAAAGATGTGCTCGCCTGTCGGGGTTCCCAACTGGGATATGGGCATTCGCTCCTCCCTACTATCCGTCTGGGCTTGGAGGTCCAGACTTCCTCCTCAGCGACACACCTTCCCCATTGGTATCACTTATTGTGATCTCACTTATTGCCGTGTCTCTTAGTGAAGGTTCTCTCTCCTGAAGCCTGAAGGTGCCATGTTTCTGTTGCCAATGTTGGGTCTTTACTGTGGTTGACCCAGCATAAAACTTTGAGTTAAATGGGAAAAAACGAATGCTTAGATAGCAAAATGATCATCCCTAGAATGACTGTCATGATGGTTTAATTACAATAATAAATAGATTAATAGATGGATAATGAATGCGGTCTATCCAATTGCAAATATATTCGTTATTAAATTAGAGCAAGCAGTTTTCAAGTAGACCATTGCGTAATCTTGACCAAGCCCTGACCGCTCGTTTCTTCCCAGTGCAGTTGACCGGTCACCAACGGTTGGCACCGTATATAGTTATTATCGAGATATTATTCTTCATCACTAACAATCAAAATTAACAAGAGTTTGACTCAAAAAATAAAGGGTATTTTAACCTTTTCAAGCACAACAAGCTGAAGCTTGTCTTACTCGGCCAATACACTGACAATGGCTTGCAGAATGATAGCACCGTCACCCTGGAAGAGAGATAATCATCATATGTGGAGCCGGGCCGGTTTGGGCCCGTGCCGGGCCTAGGCCCGGTCGGGCCTTTTGTGTTTGGGGGAAGGCCCAGGACCGGCCCGGGTAGCCGCCGGGTCGGGCCGGGCCTCAGGCCAATTTCTATTTCTTTTCCTTTTACTAATTAACCCCCGACCCCCCCTCACCCCACCCCCTCCAAACCACCCCAAATGGCCTTGAATACCCAGCCCAACCTAGGTTTTCAAAAAAAAAAATTGAAAAAAAAATGGCCCGAACCGGGCCCGGCCCGGCCGGTTCCTTATTTACATGACCCGAGCCCGCACCGGAAAACCCCCCGGGCTGGGCATACCCGGACGGTCCCTGGCCGGGCCACCAGGTGGGGCCGGGCCCAACAGTACCAGGCCCGTTCCGGGTCGGGCCACCCGGCCCGAGTCCACCACTAGAGATATGGCTCCCTCGTTCTTTAGGATGTGAGAGAATGCGTCAAGAGAGTTCTTATACTGCCTCTCCAGATGTCATCATCACTCTTCTACGAACTGTATGGTGGGTAAGACGCAAGCCCGGCGGCATTTGTAATGAGCCAACCAAGACTAGAGCTAGCAAAAAAAACTATCCTGCAACTTAAAAGCTGGAAAGAAAAAGTAAGATTATAAATAGTTGAAATGCTCAGACAAGAAAATCAATCATTTGAGATATTGTTATCATGCTTATTTAAAGGCTTACACTTAGATATCTTAGTTATTAGATCCTGCAAATATAACACCTTTTGATTTAAATCCTAGCAATTCTTTTTGTTTTTGAACCCTCCAAATATGTTATTTTCTGTTTAGTCCATCCATGGGTTATGTGTAACTCTTGGACGACCTCAAGTTTGTAAAAAGCCAAGGCTAAGTGGAACCTAGGGCTGGGACTTGGAACCGAAAACCGGGAAAACCGATCCGAACCGAACCGAAATTTCCGGTTCGGTTCGGTTCCTATCATTTTGGACTTCACTTTTTTTCGGTTCGGTTCCTATAGTCTTTCATCGGTTCGGTTCCGGTTCGGTTCCAGTTCGGTTCCGGTTCCTGGCCAGGAACCGAACTTCTCATACACTGCATGAGTAATCTTCATTTGAGGTGTTTCCGGGTGGAATTTTTCGATGAAATTTTGTGTGGTTGTTTTTAATTAAATAAAGATTATATCCACCAAATTTGAGTTAGTTAAATAAATTATTGAAAAACATTACGCCAAAATATATAAAAAACGCAATTTTTTCAATATTTTATTTAACTCACTTCCCGATTGAATTTTAAGCTGAAATTTGATATATGTAATCTACATTTCATGTAGAACATGCTCACAAAACTTTATCAAAAAAATCTTCATGGAAGTACCTCAAATGAAGGCGATCAGACGGCGTTCCGGACAAAAAGTTCTTGTCAAGAATATTATTCCTGCATAATATACCTTATATATTGTGGACCACGCCAATCCGAGTAGTTATCATTTTAATACTTTAGTCCATTTTTTATATTTATTTTTTGTTTGTAATTGAATTTGTTATTGGAGTTCACTACAAAAAAGAATTAACATTCTGTTGATTATGTTGTTTATTACTACGTAGTTTTTACTTATTGTGCATTACTAGAAGAAGAATATTATTTTGGGGTTGAACTACCTGCTATTGGATGTGTACTCTGGGGCTATTGAACCTTTTTGCTTGACGGTTGATGCCTATTTTAAATCGAGATTTTTGTTATGTTTAAATTTAATGTTGTACACTTGTACTTGGATATGTCTTTGGATATTTGAACATTGAGATATCATGCATTTATATTGTAATGGTCATAATTTCGTGATTTAAAATTTGAATTTTTTTATGTAACTGAAGTGTGTTCATTTCAGGAGGATAGTAAATTTTTGTTAGGAACCGAAAAAAGAACCGAACCGAACCGAATTTAACTAGAACCGAACCGAATTTAACAACTACATTTTAAACTAGAACCGAACCGAATTTAACTCCGACGATTTTTATACGGTTCCATCGAATTTTAACAAGAACCGAACCGATCCCAGGCCTAGTGGAACCAATCATTCATCTTTTTAGCATAGGCTGTTCATAAAAATTCTGCTATTTTAAATAATGAAATGACATGAAAAAAATACACAAATCATGTTAGTCGTGTCTACTTTATTGTAAACCTAGGTTGCTTGGGAGTGGCTAGGTATTAAAATGAAAATACTACAAATTACATTAATGAAAAACACAGTAATTTTTTCCCCCAAAAAACGAAGTAATTCTGGAAGGATCTAAAAAAATGTATATTATGTTAGGAATGAAAATTCTTCTATTCAAGAACAAGAATAGAAGATAGTACACCCAAGTCAAAATAGAAGCCAAAATAGAAGATAGTACACCCAAGTCAAAATAATATGTAGTATAAAACTGTAAAATACCGTAGTCAAAGTTATGGGGAAAAGTGTACAATGTATAACCTCGTTGTATTTGGATATACTGTCTCGTTAAAAACTTTAAGAAAATGGAATTAATAACATCGCCTTTCACCGATCTTCTTAGATTAGTTCCACCTGCTGCAATCTAGGAATAACCTCACTTTTGCACATTTCTTTCATCGGTCGCTGACCGGTTAATGTCTAGTTATTTCATGTTATTTTCTTTTCTTTTCTTTGCAAAACATTAATTCACAAATCTCACTTTTACAAATCTTCTCAATACGGTTCATTGCGATAAAAATTTGATGTAGGAAAAAATAGTGCAGTGCATACAACACTCTCCATGAACTTGGCATAAAATTCGGAGGTTACACATGTCAATTTTCTGTACAATTTCTATAAACTTTTTCGGGCCGGGGTAAAGATTTGGTGAAAAGATCAGTAAGATTTTCACTCGATTTGATTCGTTGAATGTTGAGTTTCACTCTTTTCACACTCACAAGGAAACATTAGATATAAAGGAAGCTCCTTAATCAAACTTTGTGATACGCTAGGAGTTGATTTAGTTTTTTCAAAAGATTTGATATTATTGATTTAAAAGACCATTTTTCTTTAGATGAAGAAGCAAGTTGTATAGAAGGAGATGGTACACTAGCATATTGTGCATGAAACTCATTAAATAAATTATAAAATATAATACTAACCTCGTTGAGTTATATTGTGCCCACCCCCACCCCGAACCCTCCAAACAGTCGTTTATAGTCATCTGAATGGCTATTTTGACCCCCCCAATTCTGAAAAAAATCCATTGGGATTGAAATTGGGATCGCTTGATTGAGTCCCAAATATTGGAACCCGGGACTGGGTACCGTAAATACTCGGACGGATATCGGTCATTGTCTGGAACCTTAAAACCAGAACCGGTCTGGACCAGACCGAGTACATGCCTACATGTAAGCATGGAATAATAGTTTCATACGGTATATCAAAAGTGGGCACTGTCACGCCCCGGACCTACCCGGACACGTCAACAACCCGCCGGACAATACGAATAGTCAACCATAGTCAAACACATCCATATTATACAAGGCGTCATGAATATCATTCACACATAAGTCATCCATAAACATACATAATAAGTAATTCTTGATCAATACGCAGCAGAAAATATAGTTTGAAATCAAATGCCACACGGGGAAAACATGAGCACGCAGGCTCTAAAGTAAAATATCCATGAGCATGTTTATTAATGTTCTAAAACAGAATGGAGAAAGCATGAACCATGTCTTTTCTCCGGGAAATCACTCGAGCAACGAGCACGGGAAGCAAGCTCTAGCCTCAACCTGAAATGGTGGTGGGACGCTCCGAAAGTCTTTATAGCCCTATAGTACTCTATAGGGCTATAAAGTAATGGTGTGGATGACATCTAATAGATATACAACAAGTATTTCAAACACAACACCCTCAAATAGGGTGATAGTACAATATGGTTGTAACCCCATGTTACCCCATTTAAAAATATACTTACTTTATATAAAGTCAAGTAGTCGGCCCATGGGCCCATGTTTATTTAGAAATCACCATTCCCATTTCCCGTGACTACAAGTCACGACAACTCATAGAGTCCAACACATTACAATTGCATAATGATCGGCTTAAACTTGCAAGTGTACAAGTGCCGATGTAGTAATAAAATCCGGTAAAAATACCGAGTCGAACACGAGGAAACGTTGTTTTATATGATTCAAAAGTTGAGAATATAATTTGTAAAAGACTTGGTAAAAGAGTAA